TACTGCCTAGGACTTTGGTAATAATGTGAGAAGTAGTCAGTTCCGATTACGCATTATTTTGTGAGAGGGAAATCAGAGATCATGAGATATGTCATGTGACATTAATGGACGAATTACAGTTCTTTAATCGGAAAAGGGGGGAAATCTGGAAATTTTGTATTTAGCTTTATTCTGTGTTGTGTGAAACAATGTTGGTTAATTTTTGGATTCCATGGCAGTAACGAAAGTGAATTCGAAATGGCTATTTAGGCATTGTGATAAAGAGAATTTTGCTTTTTATTTAGCGGAGGAAGTATGGAGGAAAAATTCGCAGATTAGGTAAGTTAGTATTTTTAATTATTTGAGGATATTATTTTATGCATTGTTCTAAATGTAAGGAGTAAATAAAGTAATATCCTATTATTGGAAAATTGTTATTAGCAATGATTTAGTTTAAAGTAATTAGGATTGTAAGCTAATTTTTATTAATTTAATGTATGTGCTTATTTACATTTTAAGTAGTGTTTTTGAATTTAATTATATTTTAATTAAATGATAGTTATTTTGTGAATTATATGTTTGTAGGAATTTGGTATACGTTTCAGTGGAAGTAAACGTGCGTGGAAATAATTTAAATATTTGACACTAAGTATTTGTAACCATTGTCATGTTTGCGGTATGAATTCGTTGGTGACGTTTATAATATAATAGATAATTTAGAGGTAAAAGTTTTTGGATATTTTATTTATTTTATACGTGGAAATATTCATCTTTGGAAAGGGTATATAATTTTTCGCGATCAGGTAATTTCATATATGTTCTTTTTAACGGATTTAAAGATTCACAAAATTTTCATGCATTTTCGTGAAATTTTTCTAATTTATGAGAAAAAAGCAGTGTACATGGATATAGTGAAGAGTGTGCGCAATGCCATTTTTGTACAATTCTGGGATGTTTTTATAAGTAAAAATAAGTCGACGTGTACATGGTTTAGTGATATTTTAATTAAATGATAGTTATTTTGTGAATTTTATGTTTGTAGGAATTTGGTATACGTTTCAGTTGAAGTAAACATGTATGGAAATAATTTAAATATTTCACACTAAGTATTTGTAACCATTTGTAATGTTTGCGGTATGAATTTGTTGGTGACGCTTATAATATAATAGATAATTTAGAGGTAAAAGTTTGTGGATATTTTATTTATTTTATATGTGGAAATGTTCATCCTTGGAAAGGGTATATACTTTTTCGCGATCAGGTAATTTCATATATGTGCTTTTTGTAATTTATGAGAAAATAGTAGTGTAAATGGATAAAGTTAAGAGTGTGTGCAATGCCATTTTTGTGCAATTCTGGGCTGTTTTTTTTTAAGTAAAAACAAGTCGACGTGTAAATGGTTTATGTGTATGTGCTGTTCTGAAAAACGCACAAGGAGTTTGCGATTCTGCACTTTTTCCCAATTTTGCAGTTAATATTTGTCATGATTAAGCAGTTTTGTTACATAAAATTTCTAGCATAAGTGTAATTTGGCTAGTAGATTGTTGGAAAAAGTGTTGAGTAAATAAAAAGAAAAGAAACATGCCTTCACTGGTGGGAAAAAAAAAAAAAAAAAAAAAAAAATAGAGGGTTGCTGTAGCAGAGTTGGTCACCAAATTTTCGCCAAGTTACCATAATTCAAAAGATCAACCTAAAATTCAATTCAACTGCAATATCAAAAAATATTTAAAAGAGTATATCTTAAGAATTTCTGATATAGTCTCGCATGCTGGAGATTAAAACTTTTTTTTCATACTGTGTTGCTATTGCTTGTTTTGAAATTGTAGAGTTTGTTAATAAAAAATTCTTTAATGTTTGACAAAAATACGAAATAGCTAAGAAAACAAATTCCAAATTTGGGCTTTCAGATGCCCATATTCGAATGGAGGACTATGCTATTCAAAATTTGATGTCTCTAGGTGCCAGTGTTTTTTCACAGTGTAAGAAACATGTATACATTCATGCAGATTCTTCATCATTTAATTTCTTTACATATAATGCAGGGCTCTAATATTTGGTGGCAACTATTTTAAAAGTAAATTGACGTGTACAGTGAACCGATGCAAAATGTGTAAACTAATAGCCCTTCAATCCAAATTTCCCCTTTCGACTAATAAAGATTAAAAAGATAAGTGTTTTTATTATGGATGTTTTTTGCCCTTTTAATTTTGTTAATTGGTTACTGGTTTATGTAATTCTTAAGAGTCCAGTATTTGTGAAAATGGTAGTCATCTTTCACATCGGCCAAAAAACTAATCATCAACGGTTAGCTCTAACAAACACCGTCTTAGCTTTATGTAATCTCCTATACCGTCTTAGCTTTATGTAATTTTTTGCATGAACAGTTTTAAATACAGTAAATTTCAAATATAAGCTTATACGTTTATAATCCAAGAGTGTGGTTTTTCTTCAAAAATTTATCTAAATTTCAAAAGCTATATACAGGCCGAAAAGAAAAAAGCAATTTCTGCAACGTTCAGACATGTCTCTATGAAGGCAAAAATGTTGCCAAGCAGGTCAAATTGTGGATTATTTTCCAATCAAATCACTAAAGTAAATGCCAGACACCAAAGATAATAGTTTTAATGCTAGTAACCATTTTTGAAGCTAGCATAATTTTTCCATACATTTGTTGTATTTATATGATCTATGGCAGGGGTTCTCAACCGGTGGTATGCAAAGAATTTTTGGTACTTACATATTATCGCAACCAGGCCAAAATTCGCATAAATTGCGAAATCTGGCAACCCTACGTGTTATACGTAGTTTTGTAAAAAGAGCATGTGGAGATTCACAAAATTTTCCTGCATTTTCGTGCAAATTTTTGTAATTTATGAGAAAATAGCAGTGTCCATACATAAAGTCAAGAGTGTGCGCAATGCCATTTTTGTGCAATTCTGGGATGTTTTTTTAAGTAAAAATAAGTCGACATGTACATGGTTATGGCGAATACGGTTTTAAATCAGCGCTAAAAGGAATAGCCAAAAGATTTCCGCCGAAAAAATAATTCTGCAACTTATTCAAATTCGAAACTGGATGGGTTTAATTGCTATTTTATATTTTAAAACAAAATAATATAAAAAACTGTATTAAAAATTATCTGTAATTTATAAATGTACATTTTCTTTCTATTCATATTTTTTAACTCAAACTTACAAATAGCGCCAAACTGGTTGCGATAATACGTAAGTACCGAATTTTTATCTATTAAAAATTCCAAAATTAAAACCCCAGCATCCTGATTGAGTTTTATCTCCAACACTGGTAAATTTATGTGATCTGAGCTTTGTTCAAGAGTGATGGTGATAGTAGTACTTTGTAATGGTGGTACTAAAGATTTTTAGTTTTTGTTTAGAAAGTATGCGTTAGTCAAAAGGTTGAGAACCGCTGACCTATGATATCTATGTTAGTCATTTTCTATGCCATTTTATTTTTTGTCTGAAAGATCAGCTATCAGAAAAATTCTTAAATGGCAAATTTCAAACAACAAGTGATCATGTCTGATGAAAATTCTAACAACAGTATAGCTGCCTGGCATTTCTCTGTGAATGCAAAAAGAGTTCAAGAAAAGAAAAAATGGTGGAAATTTCACAAATATAAAATTTTTTATGTCTGCGACAATGCACCAAATTGGCATTATATATATACTGGCCATCAAAATTAAAGGATAATAGCAGAAATAAAACATAACTGATGCTTAAAAAAATTAACAGAAATTAGTACAAAAGCATTAGTTAGCATAAATTGAACTGTTTGGCAGCTGATTATTCGAAAAATATTGAAATTAAAACCAAATTTATAAAATGTGAAAAATAATGGAAAAAACTAAGTGACTGCTTGTGGAAATATTTTTTTCTTTAATATGGTGTATGGCCACCTTGGACAGATAAGCATATCTTACATCTTGATTTCACACATCTTTACCAAAGTGTTTATCAAGTCTTGTGGAATTGCCTGCCACTCCTCTAAAAGTGAACTTTTCAGCTCTTGGAAGGCACAGCAGGAATCTAGTGAGCTACAATTCTGTGCTGTAAGGCATTCCACACATGCCCAATTGGGTTGAAGTTGGGTGAGTAAGGTGGCCAATTCATTTAAATATCTTTAGTTTGCATGTATTTTGACACCACATATGCTCAATGAGGCCGAGCATTGTCATCCTATTAGCAAAAACTCTGGGTCAACAGCAACCCTAAACAGTATAATTTGAGGTTCCAATACCTCATCTACATATCTTCATGCAATTACAGAACCTCGTTTGAAAGATATGCAACCATTTGTCATGATTCTTCCCCAAATCATTAAATTACAGTTTTGGAAACAAGATATTACAATGATAACAGAAAAAGTTGCATGTTCCTTCCTCTCTCTAGGTCAAAACACATCTAGAATCAATGTTCAGAATACATCTGGATTTATTAGTAAACAATAACTGGGCTGTCATCTTGGCTCTGTTAAACATACTGACAGCAGCTTAAACAGGCTATTCTGGGAGCTGGAATGAGTGGGACACATTTCCTCGCATACAGTCCAGAGCTTTCATACAGCAGTAGAAACAGTTGCCTCTACTGTAAAACTGTACGCTCCTTTGACTTTTTAAGTGAAAATATATCGATGTGTACATGGATAAACTCAAGGGAGAAAGAAGTAAAAATAGGACGAGGTGTAAATGGATACCACGTTTGTGCAATGCTTTGTCTTGTTATTTTGGCTTTGTGTTGCGGAGATTTTTGGCGCAAAAATTGCTGCTATGCAAGCCAAAATAACAAGTCAAAGGTTTGAAAAACGTCGCTAACCCCAAAATTATTCGTTTACTGCTCATCATAAGGGAACAGGATATGTTTCCGTAATCGGCAATCCCGCGTGTACCGTACACTAGAGTAACATATTTATTGACATTCAATAGAATTAGAATTTTCTGCAAATTGCATATTTGAAAACAGCTTTACAAAATACAGTTTCATGCATTAAAAATTAACACTTACTTTCCGTCACGAATTTAGCGCCAACAGGGTATTGAATAGTTACGGTCAAGGTTCTTTAATATACAGTGGTGGACAAAATTGTGGACACTTTTGGAAATTTTTATGTTTTTGAACTTTGTATGCTTATAGAAAATGTTTACGTTTCGCAAAATGCAAACTTGTATATATCATTTTAAAGAGAATTTATTACTGAATTCAATACAAAACACAAAATTCAATTATTTGCAATACAAAAAAAGTTATATGTACTTTAATATAAATAAAAAACACAGTTATGAAGTGGTTTGTAATGTCTAGCTTTCCTGGCCAATCACTGTTCTTGTTCTGAGAACCAATCAAATGTTAGTAATTAGTAACTGCCAGTAGAAGCTGACATCATGTTTACACTTGAAACAATTCATTATTTTGCTTTGTTCTGTAGAAGGAGGACCTGTTTCTTATACACTGCAATTACAAGTAGGAAATTTTGTAAAAATTTTTAATATTTAGTCAAGAAGCAATGACATCAAATAAAAGAGTAGATTGGACACCTAGAAAAGGATGTAATATTATTGTGTTACGAGAAAGTGGTCTTTCCTATGCTGAAATTGCAAGACAGGTGGGTGGTTCAGTGACTACATCTGGAGTCCGAAAGTTTTGTTTACGATATCAGGAGACAAATTCAATAAAAAACAAAGAAGGAAAAGGCCGAAAAAGGTGCACCACATCTATTGATGACAGAAGAATAAAAAGACTATGTCTCCAAGATAGAAAAATGTCATCAGCGGCCATCAGAAGTGATCTGAATGATGCTGGTGTTTCTGTCAGTTCAAGAACAATCAGGAGAAGATTAACAGATGTTGGACTGAGAGGTAGAATTCCACGAAAAAAGCCTTATCTTAATTTTCAGCAACGAAAAAAAAAGACTACAGTGGGCAAAGGAACACATTAATTGGACAGATGATCAGTGGTCACAAGTTATATGGAGTGATGAAACTAAGATATCGTTATTCGGTAGTGATGGGCGAAAATATGTAAAACGAATGAGAGTAAATGAGAAGAGCTACATTCTGACTGCATTCAAGCAACTGTGAAGAACCCAGTTAGTGTTATGATTTGGTCATGCATGTCAGCAGATGGTATTGGTCGCCTTCATGTCATCGATGGGACACTGAATGCCAGAAAATACATTGACACTATTCTAGAACCAAAACTTCTACCTTCCATCAGAGATCTCTTTCCCAACAATGCTTCGTTTATTTTTCAGCAGGATTTCTGCTCCTTGCCACACGGCCAAAATATCGAAAGAGTGGTTTCGTACAAAGAGCATTAAATTGTTGTCATGGCCAGGAAACAGTCCTGACCTCAATCCTATCGAAAATTTGTGGCACCGTTTGAAAACTCTTGTCCGAATGAGGCGCCCATCAAATAAAAGGGAACTAATTGAGGCTATAATTGTTTCCTGGCATCATGTAATAACGAAAGAAGAGCTTAAAACTCTTGTCAGCTCAATGAAACGTCGATGTGAAGCTGTAATCAAAAATAAAGGGTACCCTACTAAGTACTGATAACTCACTGCAATCATCACTATCTAATGTATATCGATAGGATTATTATCGTTTAACTTTTTTGTATTGCAAATAATTGAATTTTGTGTTTTGTATTGAATTCAGTAATAAATTCTCTTTAAAATGATATATACAAGTTTGCATTTTGTGAAACGTAACGTTTTCTATAAGCATACAACGTTCAAAAACATAAAAATTTCCAAAAGTGTCCACAATTTTGGCCACCACTGTATAAAGGTTAGGCCAGGAAAGGAAATGCATGCCATTGGTTGCTGGTAGTGAGCTCACCCGAGTGACAAGATACATCGGTCAACGCGTCTGCTGCGAAGGTCATTCGGACCTGAGACACGGAGCGTGAAGGTGCGTAGTTCCCCTCACTCTGTGCTACGTTCTGATTGCATTTCTGTTCAGTACCAGTGTTAGCACATAGAAGGTTTTCACATAGGTCTTCAGTGACCGACGTGTTGTAAAACGGCCTTAGTGCATTTGCACTGATTTAATTTTATTTTTTGCGACTTCGATGATTTACAAGTGTGAACCAAGATGGCTTTTCTGCTGCAAATGTTTAGAGAATTCGCCAGGCTCGGAGAACTCAAGAAAATTTCTACCCTAAACCCTGATGAAGCGCTTACGCTAAAGTTCCTGACCAAGATTATGTTCTTCCTGATGGATGACGGGACTGACTTTCAATCCCTGTGTCCAGGCGTCAATCTTCAGGATTTCCCGAAGCTGCATTCAGAAGTACAAGGACCGGAAGATATGGAGTTTCAACAAGTCAGAAATAAAAGGCCGTGCAGCCCCGTCACCGGCGATATGGAACCTAAAGCCGAACTTCAGAACAACAGATATTCTGTCCTCCACGACGAAAGCGACGGAAAGCACGAACCGGAAGCTGATTCCTCTTCAGTGATTCCTCAACCTAATAAAAAGCAGAAGAAGAAAAAACATATCAAACATAAACTTTCGGAATCTGCTAAAGAGGTAATTTCATTTGGAGCGCAAGCCAAGTGTAATTTACAGGAAAGCATTCGTGCTCCCAAGCCCGTCACAACGGAAAACACCACGACCGCGCCGGCCAATCAGGAGAGCCCCAGCGAAGTCACCGTTCAACCGACCAATACAGAAACTTCACAGGATGACGTTACAGATGGATTCCAATATCCGCAACGTAAAGCTAAAATCCCGCCGATTACGGTAAAAGATGCTGATATCACATGGAAGCAGCTAATTAAGCTGCTAGACGACCATAAATGCCAGGATTGTAATGCAAGCATAAAGGGGATTATCAGTTTGACATAAAAGTCTCCACGACTGATTCCCACAGACAAATTACTGCTCTCTTTTAATAGGAAAGGAATAAAATACTACACGCATGTCTTACCAGACGAGAAAAAGATTAAAGTGGTAGTAAGAAGCATACCTTCCTACACTCCGCCGGTTGACGTAGGAGAAGCTCTTACTGAACTTGGATATCAAGTTGAAATCGTGATACAACTCACATGACGCAGAGGCCCAGACATAGTTAAAATGCCCTTGTACTTGGTCTTTCTCCCTCGTAACGACAAAAGCAGGACAATTCATCAGCTTGAATATTTAATGCGTCTCAGAGTGAGTGTTGAGACATACAAAGGAAGAAGAGGCCCTACGCAGTGCTATCGCTGCCAGGGTTTTATCATGCACAAAGTAAATGCAAACTCTCGCCTCGCTGTGTGAAATGTGGCGCTGATCATGAATCCAGGGAATGCACAAAACCCAAACACGCATCCCCCACTTGCGCAAATTGTGGACTAGATCACGTCGCAAGCTACAGAGCTTGCAGTGCTTTTCCTAAATCTAAGTCGCTAAATAACAGACTTTACTCAGAGCGGGTTATCACTAACAGCTCCCAGATGCAAAGTTCCAGAAATTCCGCGGAAATTTCGTCACTTAATCAAAAACTCACAGAAGCCAAAGAAGTGATTACTAAGCTCACCGCTGCTCTAAATATGCTTAAGGACTTACAACCAACTAAATTGGTTGAAAATGAATAATTTTTTTCGCAACTCGTATGCACCGCTCAAAATCATGCTGTGGAATGCACAAAATTTAACAACGAGACTTTGTCAGAAGAGAGGATGTGGATATATGGTTAATCACGGAAACTCATGCTATTCAGAGTAAAAATCTTCGTATGGCAAACTTTATGTCCGTTAGATGCGATAGATGGCGCCACCGGGGCGGTGGCGTTATCATTTACGTGAAAAGGTCGTATGAGTCCTGTTTGATTAAGACAGACAACTCTAAGGCGTTTGAAATGGTGAAGGTTCAAGTAAAGCTTCCCAGGCTTGGAAAAATTAACTTTTGTGCAATATATAACCTCCAGACAATCAATTGACGGATAATATCCTTGATGAATTGCTTCTCAGCTAAGAACCCTATATAATCGGGGATGATTGGAAGTCGAAACATGTGGACTGGGGCTGTCACAGTACAAACAGAAATGGCAGGGTAATTCATAGCTATGTGTATAATCACCCAGTTTATTTATTTATCCCTGAAGAAGCCACTTACTGTCCAAGCATCCGAGGCCGGCGTCACGATATTCTGGACTTTTTCTCTCAACGGATAACATCCCTAATTCACTAGAGGTGCTAGCTGATCTTCCATCAGATCACGTTCCTGTTATAGCTAGAATAGGTGGAGCTCTCAAGACAAATCCAACTCCAAAGCAAATAGTGGACTGGAACCTATTCCCCAATATCGCTAGTACATCGAAATTCAGTTTAGGCACTCTTAAGACTAAATCTGGCATTGACGCTGCAATAAACATTTTTGCCAATAAACTTCAGGAATTCATACAAAATGCAACTACAGAAATGGCGGCACTTACCTGGACGGCACACTTCCTGCACGCATCAGAGCGGTTATTACTCAACGGAACAGACTTCGCAAACAGTACAGTAAGGATTGGAATCCGGCTATTAAGACGGACATAAATAGACTCACAAGGCAGATTAAAGCTCTCATCAGCGAGCACCGAAACGAAGTATGGAGTTACAAAATAGATAACTTAAATCTGGATGACGGTTCATTTTGGAAGATCGCTCGGAACCTGAAAAGAGTCTATCACCCTTCTCAGCCAATCAAAACAACACACGGTTTTGCATATACCGATCAGGAAAAAGCGGACACTTTCGCAAAGCATCTAAGCGAGCAGTTCACTCCGAATGTAATTCCGAATAATAGTGGCTCTGATATTGACAACTTTGTTCAAGAGTGGGTTGAGATTAGCACACCGAACAACACGATTAGGCTCACTACTCCGTTAGAAATAAAAGATATCGTCAAGCACACCAATTCAAAAAAGGCGTCTGGAAGTGATAAAATTACGAACAGAATGATGAAGAACCTGCCCCACTTGTTGTTTAAAGAACCAATGTTTTTTTAAAGAACCAAGCTGACTAGCATCTACAATGCTTGTTCGACGCATTCATATTTTCCAACCCCGTGGAAGCATGCAAGCATTTTTCTGATACAAAAACCAGGCAAGCCTCCCGATGAGCCGGCCAGTTAG